ATAAATAAATAGCTTTTTCACAGTAAAAGAAACCACCAATGGAGTGAAGAGACAACCTACAGAATGGAAAAAAATTTTTTACAAGCTACTCCTCAGACAAAGGACTAATATCTAGAACATATAAAGCACTCACAAAAACCGCTCCTCCAATGTAAAGATCCAACCTAAAAATGGGCACCTGAAATGAATAGATACTTCTCAGATGAAGGAGTACAAACAGCAAATAAGTATATGAAAAAATGTTCAACATCACTGGTCATTCAAGAGATGCAAATTCAAGCCACACTGAGATTCCACTGCACTCCAGAAAGAATGGCTATTATCAAGAAATCAACCAATAACAAATGCTGAAGGGGCTGTGGGGAAAAAGTAACCCTTCGTCACTATTCGTGGGAGTGTAGATTGGTGCAATCACTATGGAAATCACTGTGGAAATTCCTCCAGAAACGAAAACTAGAAGTTACATTTGAGCCAGGTGTTCCCCTTAGTGGCATCTTCCCGAAAGAGTTAAAAGCATCATATTACAGTGATATAAGCATGCCCATGTTTATAGCAGCACAATTTACAATAACTAAATCTTGGAAACAGCCCATATGCCCATTAATGGATGAATGGATAAAGGAAATGTGGTTTTTATATATAATGAAGTACGGCTCTGCCATAAAGAAGGATAAACTTCCTGCACGTATGGCATCTGCTGTAATCCCAGCACTCGGGAGACTGGGGCAGGAGGATCACCACAAGTTTGATGCCAGCCTGGGTTACGCAGTGAGTTTAAGGCCAGCCTGAACTACATAGCAAGACTCTGTCACAAAAAAACAAACAAAAAACCAAACAAACTTGAGACATTTTTAGGTAAATGGGTGCACCTTGAGAACATAATTTTAAATGAAATAAACCAGACACACATGTTTAAATATCGCATTATTTCTCCTGTGTGAGAAACTCAAAGGGTAAATATGGAACAAAATGGAGGATAGATATTCAGAAGTAGGAAGAACATGTTCAATTGGGAAAGGGAACAAGGGAGGGAGAGGGGGAAAGGGAGGCAGGAAGTAGGGATTCAAAAAAAGAACAGCAGGAAAATAATGGAAACCAAGTTTTGTAAATATGGAGGGGAAGAAGGGTTGAAGAGAACAAAGGAGAATGGGAAGAAAAAGAATTAAGATATATTATGCACAGGTATAAAATACTTAGGAATCAATCTAACAAGAAGTAAAAGATCTATACAGTGAAAATTATAGTGCTCTGATAAAAGAGATCAAAGAGCATATCAGAAAGTGGAAAGACATTCCTTGCTCATGGATAGGAAGTATTAACAGTGTGAAAATGGCCATACTCCCAAAATTGTTGTACAGATTCAATGCAATCCCAATTAAAATACCATTAGTATACCTCACAGATCTAGAGAAAACATTCCTAAAATTCATCTGGAACCAGAAGAGGCCTAGAATAGCAAAAACAATCCTGGGAAACAAAGGACAGGCAGGAGGTAACACAATTCCTGACTTGAAATTATGCAACAAAGCTGTTGCATAAAATCTGTGATAAAATCAGCATGGTACTGGCACAAAAACAGACCTGAAGATAAATGGAACAGATTGGAAGATGCAGACACAACTACAAACACATTCAGCCACCTTATCTTTGACAAAGGAACCAAACATGTTCACTGGAAGAAAGATAGCCTCTTTAATAAATGTTGCTGGAAAAACTGGCTCACCACATGCTGAAGACTAAAACTAGACCCATGTCTTTCACCATGCACTAAACTGAAGTTAAAATGGATTAAAGATCTAAATAT